GCCAACACGATGAAATTTCTCCCAAACTTCTTCAAGAAGCATCAGCTCTCCAAAATCTTCCTATGCTTTCCAGATCCACATTTCAAAGCTCGGAAACACAAAGCACGGATCGTCTCTGCGACGTTGAATTCGGAATACGCATATGTTGTACGACCGGGAGGAATTATTTATACGATCACCGACGTTGAGGATCTACACAACTGGATGGTACAACACTTGGAAGCACATCCTTCGTTTGAACGTGTGCCGGAGGAAGAACAAGAAGCAGACCCATGTGTGAAGATTATGAGAGTTGAGACGGAGGAGGGAAAGAAGGTAGAGCGGAATCAAGGGCAGAAATTTGTAGCTTTGTTCCGGCGTTTGGAGGATCCTCCATGGTAGATAAGATACCCAATGATATTTACAATAGCATCAAAGCTATACAACGAATTCCCGGCTGTATAATTGTCGTAAAGATTACTTCTCTACACAAGGGCATGTGATCCAAGAGGTAGGATTACGCGAGGGGCAGCTGCATGGGTGTGCTCTACGACTTGCGGAGCTTCAAATTTACCACGACTCAACCATGCTGCCCGGCGCATTACCTCGTCACAGATTGATATGGCCCTCAGACGACGAGATGTGATACTAGCCGGTGTCGCAAGCTTTGTCGCATGGGGTTATGCTGTTAACTGGGTTCCAACGTTACGCTGGGCCGGATACGCCTTTGTCGTAGGCCTCGTGCTCCCCGTGCTGGGCTTGATCGCATTGCTGGTGCTCACATCGAGAGGGAGCAGGTATGGGGAAAGGAACTCTATACGACGCCCGCCCGGGGCAGCTTTCCTGGCGACGACAAGATGGAGGAACGAGACCGCCGCCCTGCGAACCCGACAAGCCTACGAGAAGCAACCCCTCTATCCCGAATCTGCGACGGTGTCTGGGGCACTGGATGGGCTCTTGGAGCTGATAATAAGGGACTTTGTGAAGTCATGGTATTCGAATATCAGCAAGAACCCGGCATTCACGAACGAGGTCGACAAGACGATCAGACTGGCTCTTGTCTGTCTGCGAGATGAGCTTCTGGCTGTTGATATTACGGAGGTGGTGACAACACGGTTCGTGCCTATAATGACGGCACATTTCAGGGATTTCTACGATGCAGAGAGGGCTATTAGAGGGAAGCATTTAAACCGGAGTGTGACGGAATCAGAGGAGTTGGATCTGGCTATTGCTGCGAAATATAAAGATGGAAAACTACACCCGGCGGCATCTTTGGCGTATTCGGATACGAAGCTCGTGCAGCAGGATTACTTGCGGAAGTTGACAAAGATCTTGCTCCCAAGATTGCTACCGGAACCAGTTATTGGGAGTCGAGCTGTGGGGGTTCTTATCAATGAGCTGGTTGCATGTGCGGTGCTCAGCCCAGTTATGCAAATGGTCTCTGACCCGGATACTTGGAATCAGGTTATGGAAGGCTATGTAAGTACTGTCTTTGCGAAGGTTGATTACAAGCTGACAAGTGGCAGGGACGGTCTATGTTGCAAGATAGATCAACGGTTCGAAAGCTTCGAGCTGCTCTGGATGAACATGCTTCTCCAGCTCCGAGGTCGAAACGTGCGACTCCTTTCCCACGCTTATCACCAGGAGATCATGAACGGAGATTCGAGAAATTCATTCGGGCTATACGGAAAGTAAACAACCTTTCGGATGCTCGTCGGTTTCGAAGTGAAGTTTCTAGTCAGCTCAAGAGAGATGCTTTGCAAGAAGGCATGGATCCCGTGTATCTTCGGCGTTTGGATATTGGGAAGAAAATCTTGGACCAGCGAGTTCATCAACTTGCTGCAGGCGGAGAGCGGCAACACATGCCATTGGGATCCGCTATTAACGGGACGCAAGTCTCGAAACTTGAGAATGCTTCTCTGGTGGACCTCCTTCATGACCCATCTGGGCTCTCGTACTTTATGGAGTATATGGACCGTCAGAAGCTTATGCCCATGGTCCAATTCTGGATCGTTGTAGATGGATTCCGCAACCCTTTGGAGGATGACGTTGCTGAGGATGATGAGATACCTACGACAATTGCCCCTTGGACTGAGGCTGATAGGAACGATCTTGCTCAGATCAATGAGGCGTATTTATCGAAACCTGAATTAAAGGTCCCAGAGGCTTCAAAACGATTTGTGCAAAGCTTCCTCAAGGCAGGAAAAGACGCATCCCCCCAACAATACTTTCTGGCTCGCCGAGCAATATTACGTGCTCAGACTTCTGCACTTGAACTGATGCAGGACAAGCACTTTCGCAATTTCAAGAAGTCCGACTTGTTCTACAAGTGTCTTACATCCCAAGAGGCGATGAAGAACCTTGCACCTCCTGCTTCACCAGTTGCTCCTTCGAAACTCGACTCGATGCAAAAGCCAAATTTACCGACTCGATCGGCTTCAGCGCAGGCTTTGCAAACCAAACCGGCTCCTCTCCATAGGATCTCTGCAAAGTTGGTTCCAAAACGAGCTGATTTACGTCGGCAAGCTGCTTCTTCAGTTGATCTGCATGCAGCGAGAGATGGGAACGACCCAATGACATCGTCTCGAGGATCAATAGACGAAGGTTCGTCGCCACTTTTTGACGATGAGGATTTTGATAGCGAGGCTATGGTCAACTCCATTCACAGTCTTGATCAAGATGCTGATAATAATGTGCCTGACAATAATGTCGTTCAGGCCATGGAGGCAGCATTGAACGATATCATGGAAGACAAGCCCGATGTTGATGATTTACGAAAGTCGCTATTTGGAGATGATTACCCTTTGGAATCACCAAATCCAAGTTTGATGTCCCCAGGAAATGCATCAACGAGAAGCTCAATTGACCATAAGAGAGCGGATTTGTTTGGAGACAAGATAGACAAGGCCGACAAGGCAGATTTATTCGGCGAGAAGTTCAGCAAGTCAGAGAGGGCCGAGAAACCAAGTATCGCCTCTCTCGGTCTCGTAAACACCTCTTCTCGGATCGGTGTGTTCACAGATGATGATCTTTTCCCAGACGAGGAGAAATTTATCTCTGATGAGCACGAGGATCCAGAAGATGAAAGAGATAAAGATGACGACGATGAGGTCCATGAAGCTGCACCGGGAGACCTAGGTCTTGCTGAAGCTATCAGTGCTCTTACCACAGACATTGACCGATTGGTTGCTCAAGATGGGGTAGTTGACTCTCTGACACGAAAGGCAGAATTGACAAACAATACTGCTGAACTACGTATCTTGAAGAAATCAAAGGCCAGTCTACAGCGAGAGATCCGTCGCAAAGAGCTCCAACGACAACAATACGTCATTCAAGAAAGCGACAATAGTCTCTATGGCCGTTCTACCATCAAGATCAAATCGATCATAGTAGGCAAAGAGGAAGACGGGAGAGAGTACGCTCTGTATGTTGTAGAAGTTCAGCGGAAAGCAGGAGAGCAGATGCCAGCAGCTACATGGACTATCACACGTCGCTACAGCGAGTTTCATGACCTCCATCAACGACTTAGGATGAAGTACCCATCAGTTCGAAATCTTGATTTCCCTCGCAGGCGGATGGTCATGAAACTGCAGAGCGACTTCCTACACAAACGGCGAGTAGCCCTTGAGAAATACCTCCATGAGATCCTTCTTTTACCAGATGTTTGTCGAAGTCGAGATCTCCGTGCTTTCCTCTCTCAGAGCGCCATAGCACCAAGTGTCGACGGGGCATACGACGGCGAAGACAAGAAAGATATCATGACTCGCTTCTACAACTCTGTCACAGACGGCATGGAAGACATTCTAGGCAATATCCCCGTTCTCGACCAACTCTCTGTTGCAGGTCAAAACCTCCTCTCAGCCGCCACGAGTCAACTGATCACAATGCCCACCACCATCAGCGAAGATCCAATAACAGTCGCGGAAGCCGAAGCCGAGCTCAACGCCTTCGAAGACCGCGAGCTCGAACCGTTCGTCAAACCAATCTGCGACATCTTCCTTGAAGTCTTCGAGCTGAACCGTGGTAATAACTGGCTGCGAGGTCGCGCTGTGGTCGTAGTACTGCACCAACTTCTCGGTGGGACAATCGAACGGAAAGTCCGCGAGAACGTCAAGGGTTTCGTTTCGGAAGAGGCGATCATCAAGTATATCACTCTGCTCAAATACTCCATGTGGCCAGGTGGCCAGCAGAAGAAAGACGGTAAACCTCGCACGCCACTCGAGAAGTCCAAGAGTAGAACGGAAGCTAGTCTCATGCTCGCTACACTCGTTCCAGACCTGGCAGCAAGTGTAGTGGGTAGGGTGAATGCACAAGCTGCGAGCAGGAGGATCTTTGCTACGTTTAATAACCCACGGTTGAAGTGAGTTTCCCTGTCCCCTTTCGTAGGCGAGTTTAGTGATTGGAGTGGAGTGGAATGGAGTGAATGCTAATGTTGACCAGTGCACATCTCGCTTTTACGATGCTAGACGAGATTGTCGATGTACTATTTGGTGATGTGAGAACTTGATTGAGTTAGTAAGTGGGTATGCATTGCGTATTAGCATTGGCGTAGGCACTGGCGTTTGGGATAGGATTGTGCTTTGAGGGCATGTATGCATTTCATGGCGTTCTCAGGTTGGTTGTATTTGGTGAGGCAGCTGTAGATAGCGGATTGTGGTACATATAATAATACCTCCATTGCCCAATACCTCCCTTTAGTAGTGTAAGTCGAGTGATGAGTGACAAGAAAGGCGAGCCAGGAGGGGTAAGAGTTTGGTTACCGCTCCTCGTAATTCTATAGTAGTCTCCATCTTCAGCTGCAAACATGAAGCCAATTTCAGCGCCTATTTTCCAGAACAGACTGAAACCATCGCTACGAATTTGCAGGTCAGATCGTCATACTCAATGTCTACAATTGACTTGACTCTCGGCTAGCACTCGCCAAAAAGGGGGGCATCTCGCTTCTGGTGCAAAACTCCCCACCAGACAGAACCAAAAAGCTCGCAGAGGGGATGGGCAAAAAGAATGCACAAGACCAAGAAAGGTCGCTATAGGAATCGAACCAATATCCCCAGAATCAGAATCTGATGTGCCTAAAAGGCTGTTAGTGAGGAAACTAACTGGCTCTGGAGTCAAGTCAATACTTACTAACCATTACACCAAGCAACCGCGACACTCGATGAAGAGTGAGCTACTTCAGCCTTGCGAACAAGGATAAAGATGATACAATTTTTTCTTATTTCATTAATTAGGAGAGTTAAGGAAATGGACCGTTTGTGGGAGCGAGAAAGGCGGGGACTGGGAGCAAGGCTTGCGAGTCATTGGGTGGATGGTGAGCTAGCGGAGTAAAGCTATTGTGAAAACTCGCTGTAACTTCTAACACTTATCTCTCTGTTCGATCAATAAACAATATTTCTCGTTGCCCTATTTCACTCTTCTTCAACCCAAAGCGATTTGAATCGAAGCTCATCATCTTCACTTGCTCAGAACTTCCTCTCCAAAGGCCGAGGTATCAAGCTTCGGATTCGCTCTCGCCAAACTCGCAGGCATCTCCAAATGACGAGTAGACTTGGCCCTGCACTCTGCTGACGAGAGAGCATTGAAAGCCTCCATAAACACATCCAATTACAGCGTAAGACATATACTCAAAAAGTCTAAGATACACGCAAGCCAGAGCGCAGTAACGGAGACCGGTTCTTGACATTGGCCCGAACGCCGGTCCCCCGTTGCGCATGTCCGCTGGGGAAGCCAAATTCCTAACTCCGACCTCCAGACCAGCCAGAGCATAGCAAAACGTGTTCAGCGTCAACCTACATACAACCTTGCAGCCTGCTCTTGTCGTGTCTTGTCTTGTCTTCCTTTCTGTACAGTATAGTATAAAGCCTCCAATTTCGCCTCTTTCTCACTTTCTCTCTCGCTTTTCCTACGCCAATGCGCTCCTTCTTCCAATCATTCACACGGCGTCGTCCACTGAAAACAGCTACCACTCCCGGACCGCAGAAGCAGATAGTGACGAGAGCGATGTCTGGAGGAATGACGGCAGCAGTCCTATACGCCTGCTCGGTGAGCAGCCCGAAAGCTCTGGGGGCTGTACCTGAGGACTCGGCGACGAAGGCGCATCATGCGAAGAATGGGAAGGGATTCGTGAATCCGTGGCCCAGCTGGGTGGATTTCAATCCTATGGCTATTGGAGGGGCTATGATATGGTACGGTTGCTTTTTGTTTACTTCACTTCACTTCAGTAAACCCAATACCAACTCACCTCGCCCCCACTCCCTCTCCTGCACAAACATCTCCATCTCTCCAAGTCCAAGTATAAAGAAATAAAAGAATAATAGCTAACAAGAACAACCAGGCGCAGAATAACAGGCAAAATAAGCTTCCCCGACACAACCCCTCCAACCGTAACCGTAGTCGAACCAACCTTCCTCCCAACCCGCACATCCTCCCCCTCCCTCCGCGCAACCTGGCTCGGGCACGCATGCTACTACGTTGAATTCCCCAGCGGCCTCCGCGTGCTCTTCGACCCCGTCTTCGAGGACCGCTGCAGCCCATTCTCATTCATGGGCCCGAAGCGGTACACCGAACCACCATGCCATATCAAGGACCTGCCCGTCGTCGACCTCGTCGTCATAAGTCACAGCCACTACGACCACCTCTCACACCCCTCGGTCGTGAAGATCCACGAGGCGCACCCGAACGCGCACTTCCTCGTCGGGTTGGGGTTGAAGAAATGGTTCCACGAGTGCGGGATAACGAATGTGGAGGAGATGGATTGGTGGACTGATGTCGATATCACGCTCTCCCCTAGCACGGGCGAGAAACGCATCTCCTCCACCACCTCAGAGGGAGGAGAGCCCAACTCCACGGACTCGAAGAAGGCATTAGCAATAGAGGATATCAAAGCCAGGATATCATGTCTCCCATGTCAACACACCTCGGCACGAACAGCTTTCGACAAAGGCGCCACACTATGGTGTTCATGGGCCGTCTCCTCAGGCGGGAAGAGCGTGTGGTTCGGAGGCGACACTGGATATCGCCATGTCCCCGAACTGCCCAAGGGCGTCGACGATTACGGAGACGAGTACAAGGACCTCCCTCACTGTCCGGCATTCAAGCAGATAGGCGATTTGAGAGGGCCTTTCGATCTGGGTCTCATTCCTATCGGGGCTTATGATCCGAGATTCATTATGAGCTCGATGCATGCGAATCCGTTTGATAGTGTGAATATCTTTATTGATACGAAATGTAAGAAGGCTATGGGTATTCATTGGGGTACTTGGGTTTTGACTACGGAGGATGTGCTGGAACCACCGCAGCTTTTGAAGCAAGCGATGAAATGGAAGGGGTTGCCAGAGACGGGAGTCTTTGATGTTTGCGATATTGGAGAGAGCAGGGACTTTTGAAGGATCGTACTGGTGGGGGATTGTATCACTTAGAGCTTGATCACCAGGCATTGTACAAACATTAATCACAAATTCATGAATGAATATGCACTTCGCAAGAGTTACGGCAAATTTCCCTATTCCTATGGAGTACACTCTGGCAAATCGATCATAACTTTGACCTCATCACCGTATTGTACACTCTCCAGCCCGCCTTAGAATTTTCACAAAGAGAATTGTTTACTTTTGGAGAAGGAAATAGACGAGACGTTAGTGTGAGAAAATTCGTTTATCCACATCACAGTCGTTCCTGATACGATACAAAATGTTTAGAAATCAGGTTAAGAGCCATCATTCCTCATTTAAAGAAAGTATCATCCGCTCCTGAAGTTGTAATCTGTTCAAGGTCAGTACGGACTAGCCATTCCATGAGGCAAAACTTACCAACTTAGTAACGGCGGGGTGGTCGCTCATAATCATAAGGAGCATCTCTTGGAGGATAATCTCTTGGTGGAGGACGATCATAAGGAGCTCTGCCATTGACGTATGGGTCAGGTGGGTAGTCACGACGGTAAGGGTCCTCAAATCGACCACGTGGGGGTGGGTAGTCATCAACTGGACCTCGAGCTCTTGGAGGAGAGCGGTATCCACGACGATCGTCGTCGTAGTAACCACGGCGGGGAGGGCTTCTATCACGGTAGCCATCACGTCGAGGGCTGTATCCACGGGATGGGCCACGACGGTCGTACTCATCACCAGGGTGGGCTCGGCGGGGAACTGGGGATCGGGAACGAGCTCGGGAGTCGCGGGGAACATCCGGTTGAGTCTGGATACCATTAGACTAAGCCATAGAAGAAGACATGGAGACATACATCAGCGATACAAGTGACACGAACTCCTTTGAACTCGCGGCCGTCAAGTTTCTCTACTGCAGTCTTGAGGTCCGCAGCAGTCTCAAACTCAACAAAGCTTCTGTTATATGCGTTAGCTAAAGTCCACTGGAAGAGACCAAATGACTTACCCTTTGCCATCCCGGTCACGACCAGTCTCGGAGTAGACGACATCGAGGCTGGATTGACGGGCGAAGTCTTTCAGGTCCTATATCCAGAATCCATGTAAGTCGATATCCAGGTAGGTTGGTGTACAAACGCCAAGGTAGTAGTAGGTGTTGCCATCCAAACAGTTCCCGAGATAGGTACATGGTCCAACGGTTTGAGCTTCGTCCTGCGCAAAGTGATCGCTATCCAGACATGCAATGGGCAGCAAGTTACAATAGCAGAAAGAAGTCGAAACAGGATAAGAAAGGCCAGAAGAGGGGGAGAGAAGTCCACCAAGTCCAAAGCTGCTCAGGCAAATGCACTAGCACGCTGCATGGTTCTAATCCAACACAGGGCGTGATGCTGGCCAGGACTGACTGATTGACTACTAACTCTGCTGCCGAAGGAAGGTTTATCTGTGCAATGAAGGCGTCCAAATATCATGTCATGTTGCGCAGAGTCCAAATAGCATTGTTCTTTGAGATCCAAGAGTCCGGATGAAGGAACGGGGGGAAACAGACCTGCCAGCTGGTCTCACCTGGAAGTCCAGAGATTTGCATGCGATGAGGGGTACGTCTTGGACGCGGAGCAGTGCGCTCAGTGTTGGCGAAGGTATCACGGTTGCGCGTACCACGAGCAAACTGAACAGTCAAACGCTCACCCATGAAGTCCGAGCCATGGAAGGCTACACGAGGAGTAAGTTATGAGATGGACCTTGGGAGTTTGTTGATGCGACCATACCGGGAACCACATCGCGGGCATCCATCGCATCCTTGTATTCGATGAATCCGAAGCCATTCATGAGCTTGATCTCGGTGATCTCTCCAGTGCCATGAGTGTTGAAGTGCGCCTCGACATCGGCCTTGGTAGCTATGATGGCATTAGCAAAGAACCGGAGCGGCGCATACGCTGAAACTGATCGAGAGGTAGTCGCGTCGATGGTACTGACCACTGCGAGGGAGATTGCCCAGGTAGAGCCTGGTAGACGATACCTCAGTCATGGTGAAGTGAGGCTGTTGTCGCGCTGGCTGTGGGGTTCAGCGAAAGCTTGATGAGTGGCGAGAAGGAATGGTGAAAGCGACGGGACAGAGCGAGATATCTATCACTGATGGTTGGCGCTAGCAGAGGCCGTTAATAAGGTCGCCGTTGCGCACAATGAGGCAGGGCGGCAGGGTGAAATTGCTGCGATGGGATGGGAAGTGTTGAGTGGGAGGTGATGCTATGCGATGCGCAACACAGAAGGCGGGCGTGAGGAGAAGTGAGGGAATGGCAAGCAAGGCGACCAGGCGACCAAGGCGGAAATCCATTGGACGTTGGAGCAGTGCGCTTGGGGCAAAGCAAGCCACCAGGCTCGGCTGTCACATGATATTTGAACTAGTCTGCTTTGGTCATATCTTGGACTCAGAGCAGGGCTGAAGCTCTTACTCTTAGTATGGCTTTCTTCGTTAATTCTGCATATTATATATATATATTTAATATGCAGATTGAAAGTATATATCGGATCCCACAAGCTGCAGTTGTCACTGGCTCAAAGTCGTTGAAGAAAGTTTACATTGTGACATCAATTCATGGTCATTACCCAACTCCCATAGCCTGGCTACAACCAAACTCCCCTCCAGCCCTGTCTCATCCACAGTATCTGATAACGCCCGTCTACACGCACCCTTACTGTATAATCACGGCGTCCAACTTCTTTCATGTGCACGATCCAACCTAATCCCTAGAAGCTCCTCCAAAGCAAGCAATC